CTCTCTCTTGATCCATTTCTCCTTCCCACCATTCACTGTCTCTCTCCTTTGCTGGAACATCCCAGAGCCCATCTCCAAAACTCCTTCCTTTTTTTTTTGAATTTCATTATTATCATCATCATCATTATTATTATTATTATTATTATTATTATTATTATTATTTTGAACTCCTGAGACTTGACCCCCCCTCTCCAACTATCTATGCACAGAGATCAAGGTACATGGCCACAAGTCCCCAAATCAAAGCTTCCAGGAGTCCCCTGGACCACACTCCTTTTTCATATCTCCACGCAGGTCAACGGCGCTCTCCTGCCTGGACTCGGCGATTCCCTGTTGCTCACGCATTCCACGTTTGCACACTTGCCTGCTCACTAGAATGCATCTGTGACCCCTCATGGTCATTTTTGGACACGTGTGCGAATGCCAAAACAACACTTGTGCCACTTGCCCCGCGTGTCCAAGCCGCGGCTCGATGGGGCAGGGTTCCGTTAGCTTCAGATAGCTGCCTTCATGCAGGTCCCTGTCATCTCACTACGATTTCATTAGTGCTGCACTTCCGTGCTGTTAGTTGATGGGTTTGCTGTCGGAAATGCCACCCCACCCCCCGACACACTCGTTTGTCCTGAAGTGCTATTTCCCGTCCCTAAGCTCCAGAAAGAAAAAGATTTTTGCCTGACAAAGGACATACATGTACCAGGCACACTTCCTTCAGGCACGAGCTGCAGTGTTAATAAACAAAACATGGTAAACAGAGTGTCCTTAAGCAGCAACACGCGTACAATCAGCGCCCCATAATCTGACCAAAAAAAAAGATCTGAGTTCGTGGGAACTTCACCCTTTGCTTTGGTTGGCTCCCCTTTCACTAAGTCGGCCATGAAAACCAACTACAAATCCAAAGCCACACCGTGCCGGCCTCCCAACACCATTCCTACTCATCTCAGAGGATGACTTCAGCTTCCAGCTGCTTAGGTCTACGGCCTGGAAGGTGCCGTTTGCCGTCACATCCCACAGCCAACACACCAGCTGGTCCTGTGCGGCTCGCTCTGAAGTCACTTCCTACATCCTCATCGTTGCAAGCCTAGTCCTGCCACAACTGCCTCAGTTATGACAGTCACATCCTAATTGGCCACCTGCTCCTATCCTTGGTCTTGTCAATCCCTAAGGCACAAGCAAACCCCAGCGCTTACCTCCCCCCCACCCCCAGCCTCCAGGGGCTTCTCAAGTTACACAGGGCAAAGGCCAAGTCTCACGGTGGCCTCCAGCTGAGCCTTCACCTTGGCTCTTACATTGGTCCTTCCTGCTGCTTCAGATGCCCACCCAAGGGTTCCCGCAGCCCCTCAGTCACATCCCTTTAGCAGAGGAAGAGCTACTGCTCCTCAAACATCACCCCTCATTCTCTCTGCCTTTACCCCGCTGGGGTTCCCAGCACATTCCAAACCTCGTCAAGGTTTTGAGGGCAAGGGCTGTTCAAGTCTCTGCAGTTTTCTCTGTACCCCAACAGGGTACCAGATATGAAGTCCTCATCGAAGAAAACCGATGATGGCGTTTGACTTCTCTTCTGTGAATGAAGAGCTATCACCCCAATTCCACCCTGCAGCTTATTCTCTAAGAGTTAAAATACTCCAGACTGCCTTCCTGCTGATGAGGGGCTCTGGGCCACCTTCAGCATCCTCTACTCAGCGGAAGCAGGAAGCAGGCACCACCCTATGTCTCTAAGCAGATGGGAAGGTTGACATCAGCTGTCTCTGACCCTCGATTTTGGTTACAGGGATTGGGAGTGGCTGTGCTGTCTTAGAAAGATATCATTGTAAAGATATCATCATAAAGCCACTATTGGTGTGAGCTGAGTTTTCTTCGTCTCACAAACAACCTGTCTCCTCTCCAGGATGGAGCATGGAGGAAGGGCACGGCAGGGACTACTTTCATCTCCAAAAGGTCTGCTATAGAAAGAGGGTTTTCCCTGCCGTCCTGGTGTCCTTCCCGCTGCTGTGATAAAACGCTCTGCAAAAGCAACTCAGAGAACAGAGGGAGCTACTTTACCTTAACCATCCCAGTCCGGAGAACTCAGAGCAGGAACCCCACAAGGAACCCGGAGCAGAGACCTTGGAGGAAGGCTTCTCGCCAGATCCATCATTTGCAGACTCACCGTTAGTTAGCTGGCTTTCTTGTGCAGACTAGGACCACCTGCCCAGGGAAGGCTGAGGCCCACTGGGTTGGGCCCCCCTGCAACACTGTCCTACAGACATACCCGCAGGCCAATCTGGTCTAGGTCTAGGTCTAGGTTAATGTTAACCCGGATGCCTCTGCAGGACGCTCTGCAGTAAGCTTTGCTCATCCTTTGGTCAGGCACAGAGGAGGTCACAGTGCCGGTATGTGGTTGAGGCTCAGCAGATCATCTCAATGGACCAGAAAGTACAGGACAGGACGGGACCGGCACCCAGGGACCAGGCTGACCTTCAAAGGGCCTACACCTAATGACCCACTTCCTCCTCTCCACTCTTCCCAAGGCTCCGGAGCCTCCCAAAACAGCGCCACCTGCTGGAGGACCAAGCATTCAACCACGTGGAACACAGGTTCAAACCATCTCTGGCTCTGCCTTCCTGATGAGGTGTTGCTTAATAGACGACCCAGATGCCACGGAGCCATCATGGGGTGCTGGGGAGCCAGCTGCTCTTGCAAGCTTGCTGTCAGCCAGACAGAATTACAGGAGTCAGGCTGGGGGCCACGTGCAAGGAAAATTTAAGGAGTCACCCACAGAGGCATCATTTTTCGGGCTCAGCCTCCTCCTCAAAAAAAAAAAAAATTAAAAAGCCCCACTCTGTTCCCATGCAGGACAGCCTCCCGGCCCGGGGGCTTGCTCAAGCTCCAGTTCACAGATGTGTCACTGTGTCCCCGGGGCTCTGTAGGTGTGCTGCAGGCTGGCCAGTCTACAGCCGGTAGTCCAAGTACAAAGACTATGGACATTGCTAAATGAGTTTCTATGGGGCAAAAAAAGAAAAAAGAAAAACACAGGCTCTTTGTAAGAAACTGGGAAAGAACTTAGGAACCGAAAACCCAGAGATTAAACACCTGTTTACTGCACATTCTATCTCGTCCCCCCCTTTTTTTAATCTACATGTGTGGGAAGAAATAGTTTTAAATGAATTGGATCATTCTAACAAGTTTTAAATACTTTTTCCTACTTACTATTCTACTGGGCAAAATTCCAGATCATTAATCTGTTCTTGCCATTTTGTTTTTCCCCCAAGGCCACAGAGCATTTTAACATACACACACACACACACACACACACACACACACACACACACACACACACACACGCCATGGTTTGTAGAATAATGGCTACCCGTTTGCCACTTAGACCACTTCAGTTTTCATTATCGAGGTCACCCCCAGGTAAGCATGGTTGCATGTAAACATCCGTGTGCCACTGATGGGTTTTCCAAGGATAAAAGCCATAGGAATGAAATCATGCGATCAAAAACATACCGGTATTTTTAAGACTTTAAATTTTCCTAAGCTGTACTGCAACCCAAAGAATGTGAAATTGGCTCTTTTCCAAAGGCGGTTCAGAGTCAAGTCTGCTCAGTGGTCTGTCCTAGGGTCCCTCAAGCCACTGGTAGAGCTAATCTGTGCCCCCAGAAACTCCAAGGGCAGCACGAGCAGAGGCCAGCACTGGCACCCCAGGCCCTTCCGGGCTGTTTCCTCACTTCTACAGCTGGGCTGGCTGGCGCATGTGGTGGTCAGGTGATGCGTGTGGGGTCTTGTAGTCGGGCAGCGGTGACTCAGCCAAACCCACTCAGACCTTGCTGGGATCACAAGCTGAGAGCACTCACTCCCCCGAGGCCCGATAGCCCCCCTCCCCCCGTAATTAGAAGAGGCTGATTACGCTTGAGCCTGTGGCTGTGAGGATTTGCGACTCGTGGTTTAACCTGTGACTCTGTCAACTGTACCGCTCGGCGCTCTGCCTTCTTTTCCCCCTGGTTGGAAACACTCAGAGAACGACTTGGGCTCAAACTCCAGCCTGTGTACTCTGAGAGCTTCCTGACAGGCAGTTTGCAGAGAAACTTTGGGGTGCATATGTCCAGGTGTCCATCTGAAACTCGGACACAGGACTCCCAGCTGAACCGGAGGGCGAGTTTTGATGCATGCTCACTGTCACTCTTACACACATTCTGGTAAGGTCCAGAATGCCCTGGCCATTGTAAACAGTTCTGGAGAACAAAGACTGACCACCCCTTAGGGCTTCTTGTCACTTCGTCCATAACGAGGTGAATCATGTGACCAGCCAATATGAGAAGACTGGAATGGGACCAAGGGGAGCTAATCCCAACGTGGCTGTGTGTCCATAGCTTCGGGGCCCTCAGACGCTCTCTGGGTCAACGTTCTCCATGGACTTCGTGCTTTTACTATGGTTTTGGATGTGGAATGCCCTCACAGGTGCCTGTGTGAACACTTGGTCACCAGTTGGTGGCGCTATTTGGGGAGCACGTGGGAACTTTGAAAAGTGAAGTCTCACTGCGGGAAGGAGAGCACAGGGCCTCAAGCCTCTGAAAGTTGCGGGCTGACGCTATCCAGCCCTGCTCTCTACTCCTGGCCCGCCACAGTGTTGAGTGAGGAGCCCCCGCCTGTACTCTGTGGCGTGGACGGCTCCACGCCTACTACACAGTGACCAACTGAAACCCGGGGAATCCACCAGCCATAGATCTCTCCTAGTGTCCCCGTAGGGCCCAAGGGGACTTCACATAGAAAGGCACCCACCTGGCCTCTCAGAGCAGAGGTGACTCCCGAGTCTCTCCCTAGAAGGGCGTGTTAGTCATATCTCTGTCAGGCATTCACAGATGAGCTACAAACCAAGCCACATTGTCACGCTAGGGGATGGGATACATGTGCAGAACACCAGCTTTCAGTAGCCTGTGAAAACACACACACTCACACAACACACACACACACACACACATATAGCTTGGCGAAATTCACTGGAGTTTGGGGGCCAGGAATTCTGCTCAGTGCTTATTTGAAGAGGAAACTTCTGGAATTTGATTGGGGGAGGCACTGGGACAGGAGGGGGATGGTGTGCCACTTGGCTTCTGTAAGGACCTCAACAGTTTCGCTGAACTCAGAGGAAAGCAAACATGACAGCCACTTGTCCTAAGACACTCTACAGGTCACTGGGCTTGAGTGGAGGTGACTGTGGGGGACATTCTGAAGGTCAGTGGGCTTGAGAGCAGGCGAGTGTGGGGACACCGTGAAGGTCGGTGAGCTTGAGAGCAGTGTACAGATAGCACCGTCATACATGGTGAGCGATTCATGACCTGTCCTGTCATCAGGGAGAGGACTGAGGAGTCTTCGGAGGATGTGGTGAATAGGAGACACTGGAAAGGAAAAAGGGACAGCTGGACTCATGTGTTCCTGAGGGAGAACTTTGGGGACAAAAATAAACCCTTGGGTTGGAAGACTTTAGAAGTGAATGAAGGGGGATTAGGGCAGGGCAAAAAATTCGTGTGTTGAACCATCCTTGCATTCCAGGGGGAAAATGTTCTGTAAATTCATGTGTTGAACCATCCTTGCATTCCAGGGGGAAAACGCTCTGTAGTCATGGTATACGAGAGGATTTTACGTCTATATTCATTAAAAATATCAGCCTTTGGCCTTGTTTGTTATATCATCTACATGCAGCATGGACATCATGGTAATGCTGATCTTACAAAAGGAGACTGGAAACATTCTCTTCTCATCCATTCTCAGGGGAAGACTTTGAGAAGGATGGTGGCCTACTGCTCAAGTGTGCCGTAGAATTCAGCAATGAGACTTTCATTTGTTGGGAGGTTCCTCATGCAGTGGTCTGGACAGGCTTTTATGCATCCTGAGTTTTCCTGTCTGCAGTGCACTGTTCACAGTATTCACAGCACCCGCGTTATCTCTACGGCACCACTGACTGCTTCCTCTTTCGCTTTGTCTTGGCTCGTCAGTTATTAGTAAGCCGGTTTGTCATTTATGAAGAGTCCATTAGCTGGGCCATAGAGATGGTTCACACATCAGAACCTGATAACTCTCACCAAAGACCTGGGTACGGTTCCCTGAGCACATGTCAGGAAGTTCACAAATGCTGTTAACTCCAGTCACGGAGCAGCTCATGCCATCTTCTGGCTTCTGAGAGCAACACACACGCTCATAAAATCATTTTTAATCTTTAAAAAAAGGCGTAGTCGGGTTTTATTTTACGTGTTTGCGTGCATTTGTGTACCCTACCATGTGTGTTGTTGGTGTCTAAGAAGGTCGGAAGAGGGCGTCTCACTCCCTAGAACTCATTACGGGTGGTGGTGAGCCACCCACCACACAGGCGCTAAGAACTGAACCCCGCCCCCCCCCGCAACTCAGTTTCACTTGTTTTCTGTCTTCTGTTCTCTGTGCTCGTTTCTGTTTTCATGTTCGCCGTTTCCTTCCATCTGCTAATTCTGGCCTTTGTTTTTTCTTCTTCTGGTTCTCTGGAGGTAATTTAATATCCAGGACTCTGACAACTGCTTTCCAAAGTTGCCGTGCCATTTGATCTTCGACTGACAAGGGGGCCATTTGCTCTGCAGTCTCACTCAAGGCAAGAATTCCTAGTCCTTTCCGCTTGCCACACATTCTGATGTGTAGGAGGCTTTAGCTTTCATTCCCCCCTCCCCACTGATGAGCCTGAACATCCTAGCGGCCATGCCCAGCTCCCCTTGTATGAGCAGTTGGGCTCATTTTGCTTTTATTTGTGGCTTTTGATTCATGGCTGAGCTTTGGTTTTTTTTTTTTTTTTTGCACACTAGGAGATGATGATACATTGTGTTTTCAGTTTGTCCCTAGTGTCATTGCTTTTGGTCTTTGAAAAGAAAACACTTTTAATTTCCTAAAATGTAATTTATACATTATTTTATGCTTTACAGTGAACAAAATTAGTATTTGTGTGCAAGATGGGTCATGTAGGTGTCTATTTGTTGTTAGGGCTCTAAAATAGCTTTGAGTTTACAGTTGCTTTTATGTCATAAACAGCAAAGAACAAAGACAGATGTAAGTCCTAACTGCAAAACAGCTGATTGGTTTGTTTTGTTTTGTCTGTTCAAGATAGGTAACATGTAGGCCAGGCTGGTCTAGAACTCACCATATGCCAAAGATTCTATAAGGAGTTGCCTGGATTCTGGATTCTGGGATGGCTTTAAACTCACAGCAATCCTCTTGCCACAGACCCCCAAGTGTGTGCTACCATACCCAGCTAAAATAGCTATTCCTGAGCCGTGGGCTCAGTGGAGTGTTGGAGTACTCAGTAACCACACCCCAGGGCAGATTATGGTGGAATCCAGCCCACACACCTAGTGCATTTTGTTCTGCACACACAGTCTGGATTTTGAATACGTGCATATTCTGGAAGTCTCTGCTAATATTTTTCTCTTACCTGCTAATATTTTTCTCTTACCTTTCTCCTTGACAGAGTGAAACTGGGCCCCGGTTTGCTGCAGGGTGCTTCCCACACACAGCCAGGCTGTAGGTTGACAACAAGGTTTTGAAAGAGTAAATAATTTTGTTGCTATTACTTGGAAGCAAAAATTGAGTTTCAAAAGATAGGTCCTTGAATTCATTATGTTGGAAGGATGAAAAGCATGGTGGTTGCATGGCCTTGCAAATGTACAGGCAGATGAAGATAGATAATGGAGGGACATCAGAGATCCACTGTCACAGCACCCTTGGTGCTGCCTGCCTAGGCTTGAATGGGTTGGGGGGGCATTGTTTGCCTTTCCTTTTCAAGCCTAGATGCTAATCTTTCTGGCTATTGTAATTTGGTGATTATTTACCCTGGGTAGATAATGCAGGGCCCTTCATTAAATGTTTTCAATGTGCGTTGTTTCATCTGGTAATTACAATAACCAGAAAGAGTCTGCGTTGGATGGTCAAGGCTCTGATCTACTTTTTAATTGTATTTTTTGAGAAGGCAGCTATTTAAACCAGAGTATTACATTGAGTGGACCGCAATCCACCGGTGCCTAATTCATGGTCAGTTTTAATCTTTCTTAATATTTAGCAAGGACGGCAATGACAGAGGGGGTCATTGTTTTAGCATGGGAAGGTCACACCAAAGAGACAAGGAACTAGGGAAGGCAGACGGCATTCCCCAAAATGTTCTGCAGCTTCTGAGTGGGACTTGACCTCTTGTATAGGCTTCACACTGGGGAGCAAGGGTGGGTTGCATGGGCCTCATGGCCTGAGGGAGGGTGTGAACACGAGAGACACTGATGAGCAGGAAGCTCGGTGCCAGCCGCAGAGCAGACGCCTTCCTCACTTTTGGCCCGTGCCTAAAATCATTTATTGTTTCAACAGAGTTTTCAAGTCACAACAGCGCCCTGGCATTCTGCTGAACACTGTAGATAATTCTGAAACCAGTGCCCACTCTCCGCAGTGAGAGAGCCCCGTAGGTATGAGGTAGGGACTATGGGGGCCAAAGTGATTGGCACAGACCCCGAGTGTTTCCGGAGTCCCTGGGGTGGGGGTGGGGGGAATGGGCAGCCTAATATGGTGGTTCAAGCCTGCCTTCCCAGCCCTGGGGAGGGCGGTGTAAGAGGATCATTGTGAGCTGTAGGTCAAGCGGGTCTACAGGGTGCATTCCAGAGCAGCCTGGGTCAGAGACTCTCTCTCTCTCTCTCAAAAAAAATGTTAAATTGGCTGGGTGTGGTGCCTCATATCTGTAACCCCTGCACAGGGAAGGTGCAGCAGGAGGGTCATAAGTTCAAGGTCCTCCTCAGCCGCTCGGTGAGTTTCCGGACAGCCTGGCTACTTGAGACCCTGACAGACGGATAGACGGACGGCAGCTTATAAAATCCGTGGACAGAGCAGGGGAGCTGGTGTTAGAGTTCCCGGCTTCACCACTCAGCAGTTAGACAGTGTCAAGGGGGAAATACTGAAGCCTGAGGGACAGAAAGAACCCGAGATCTGGGGGTCTCTAAGTCTCAGATTAGCGCTTGTCCAAGGCTGTCGCTGTGGAGATGAAAGGGACTCGTTGCACTCACGAGTCCCTTTTTTCCGGCAGAAAATGGTAAATGTGACACCAAACCCTACCCCAGACTCTGACGTCTCCAGCTAGCCTGAATGCTCTTAAACCTAAAACCAGCATTATAATATTTTTAATGTAGTCTTTCCCCGAAGCCTTGGCATAAGGAACTAGATCCAGCGTCGAGGAAGCAGGAGGGAAAGAATAGATACACATCACATAATTTCAGCAATAAGTGACTTTGCTGAGCCGAGCGTTGCTTGTCACGTGACCCCGTCTCTCCTGTTATCAGAGGATCCCAGCCTGTCTTTCTACGACTGCCTTACATTACAGGCGAGAGGCCCATCTTTGCCCCACGAGATATGCGCAGTTACTTGACCACCAGTCGGCAAACACATTGCAAAATTCAAAAGTCTACGCAGCACAGACTCACAGCCTGGACTACCCCACCTCCCTTCCCCAGGATGCTGTCAGGTAGCAAAGGCAACAAGGCTGTCAGCTCTTTACAGATCAATCTGTTGGGCCAACGTGGGGTTTTTAGTGGGATCGTGGCAAATGGATTGGGAACGTGCAGTACCTTAGGTGATTACACTTCAAAGAGCTCTTGGGGGAGGGGAGCAGAAAATGAAAAGGAAGGGAGAGCCAGTAAGGCACACGGGGAGACAGCAACGGGAAATCTCTTACTTGGTGCGCTCTCCTTTCTTATAATGAACCTTCCAGCTTCCTCGTGGGTGGGCATCATCCGCCTGACCACCCCGATCTGCGGGAGACTTCCTTGTTGCCGGTACTCTGGGCAGGCTGCCCCTTGTTAGTTTAGCGCCCACACCCTTTGAGAACCTGAACCAGGTGAGGGCAGAGACACAGTGGTAAATTGGGGTGATGTTGTGGGGATGAACAGGGGCTTCATTTGATGTGCCAACCTTAGGGTTTCAGAGGAGAAGCATAGTCACGCATTAGTCACCTTCACACAGCACCAAGGAACACACTAACAAAAGGAGAGACTACTTTGGGTTCCTGGGTATCACAAGGCTTAGGCCACCCTGGGAGGGAAGACCTGTGGACCCAAACTCAGCTGCGGCGATAGGGAACTGGGGGGGGGGCAGAGACAATATACCCCTGTGACTTTCAGGTTATTTCCCATCTGCTGAAGTGGCCAGGACATCCCCAAACTGTCTCACAGCGGGGAACCAAGCACCTAAAGCGTGAGCTTGTAGGCCGGTTTCAGACCCACGCAATGACCCAGGAGGCAGCTATGGGCTCACTTTACAGGGAAGCCACGCGGAAGGGCAGAAGGCAGCAGGTGAGGGAAGCAGCAGCTGCAGGCAGAGAAGAGGTGGAGCAGAGCAGACCTGCTGTGAAGCAGGAATATGCGCTTCCCTGGGAACTCACAGCAGAGGGGAAAGTGCGGACCGTGTGGAGTCAATAATCCCCAACAGCTGTGGAAAGACCCTCCTAAACTCACGGTGAGGGCAGCTTTCTCCTTGTGGGCAGCTCTAACTAGGTCGACTGGGAGAGAAGGGACAGACGAGAAAGAGGCAACCATTAGTAATGCGGTGAGAAAACAAGACGGGTAAATCAACAAGAAAGTTATAACGCTGCAAGTGCCCAGATCAAAATGTCTGCATCCCAATCGCTCAGGCCCCAGGTGTCCCCAGCCAGGACCATAAGAGGTCTGCGTGGCCTGAACAGTTAGCCATCTTTGGCGTCACTGGGGTGACCTGGACCGTGAACCTTTCCTTACTTGCGGATGAGGCTGTGTACGAGCAAGGAGCCCTCTGGCTGTGAGACTCACCTTTCCACTCTCCTCCCAGCCTTCCCGTCGCCTTCCCCCAGAGCACATGAATGACCGTAGGCAGGACTGGTTAAATGTCAGACCGCTGTTGCCTGGAGAGCTATGATTCCCTCCACGTGCCTCAGCGGCTGGACACAGCACGCCCTCCAGCTCGGCGCCTTCCACCAGTACGCCTTGCTGTCTGTTCCCGCCGGTGAATGTTTAACCACAAAACCAGCGTCCTGTGCTAGGGGCCATCTATCTGCCGTCTCCCTTCCCAGCGGGCGGTGAAATAGGCTGCTACCATCTTCTGCGAGCACTCCAAGGTGGGTGTCTCTGGAAGGAGAAACTAAGACAGATTTGTGATACGGTCTATTCATTATCAAGTTGACCCTCCTGAAGGAGGACGAAGGCTTGGGTTAGACAAAGAAAGCTGGCCGGGGCCGGGAGGTCAAGGTGTCGGCAGTAACCTTGCAGCTGCCCGAAGCTCTTCCCTCAGTCACGGACATAGGTACTCTTGCAAGATGCAGGCAACATGACCCTCTACATCGAAGGAAGACACCGAAGGAGATGAAATCTGGGGGCTGTTGGCTGATCACACTGTCCACAAGTGGGCATCCAATCATGCCTTCAAGTGAAATTGGATAGATGCTTCGTGACAGATGATAGGAAGATGAATGGACAGATGTATGAATAGATAGATGGTGGATAGACAGACAGATGAAAGATACGTGATAGCAAATGGACTGTAGAGAGATGCATGATATATGTACACGCTAGGTAGCTGGAGATATGATAGATGCATGACAGACAGATGATAGATTATAAATAGATGATTGGTGGATGGTAGATACACAGTGTGGCTGGTTTTCGAGGACCACCAGTCCCCAGATCACGACATGGAGATTTATTATTAATTATGAACGCTTGGCCTTATCTTATGCTTGTTTCTTGCTAGCTCTTTTTACTCAATTTAACCCATTTCTCTTCTACATTTTGCCTCAGGGATTTTTACCTCTCTTTCATTCTGAATGTTCTGCTTTCCTGCTTCCCCTGTGTCTGTCTGTCTGGCAGCTGCCTGCCTGGCTGTCCCCAGGGTGTCTTCTCTCTTTGTCCCTTGTTCTCTTCTCCCCCAAGCCTGGATTCTTCTTCCTGTCTATTCTCTCTGCCCGCCAGGCCCTGCCTATCCCTGGGCTGCCTAGCTATTGGCCATTCAGCTTTTTATTAGACCCATCATGCGCCCTAGGCAGGCAAGGCGAAACAGCAACACATCTTTACGTAGTTAAACAAACATTCCGTTTCACTTCAGTACAGATTAGAGATAGGTTGGTAAACTGATAGATGGTAGATGGACAGATGACAGCTAGCTAGATAGCTGGTTAGATGATTGATAGCCACATGAATGACATATAGACACATGAGAGATACATGATAAATAGATGGTAGGATGATGATAGATGAGTAGATGATGGACAGATGACAGAGAGATATAGATAATAGATACGTGTGGGTAGATAAGATAGATGCGTGATATATACGTAATAGGTAGACAGATTACAGCTATATACATATACTAAATGGCAGACAGATAAATTGTAGATGGATGGTAGATAGATAGTAGATAAATACATGGTTTATAGTAGGGTGATAAAGAGATGTATGACGGATGCATAATAGATAATAGGAAGATGATAGATAGGTAGATAGATAGATAGATAGATAGATAGATAGATAGATAGATATAGATATGTCAAGGTCAGGGTATATATATATATATATATATATATATATATATATGTATATATATATATATATATCTAGCACATGTATAGAGAAAGGAAAAAAGAGGGGAAAGAAGGCAGATTATAGATTAGCCTTAACACTTTATATGAATCAAGAAGAAAAATGAATTTTCCAAACCCATGTATTGTATGGATAGAGTTTTAAGGGATATGGAGTATTTAGGAATGTCCTCCTGGAGAAATGTTTGCAGGCACGTGACAATCTCGACGTCACCCCGCTATTGCAAATCAGGGACAAATTTGTAGAAAGCCAATGCCATCAAGCCTTGAGTCTCTATCCTACCATCAAGGGCAGGTCTAGAGAACACGGCCGGAAAGGAGCAGGGTTTGGGGTTGACAGGAGAGCAGAGACCTCGAGGATGATGGGACAGCGACGTCATGGCTGACCAAGGACCCCACGCAGTTCCTATGAGCAGCTACGAGGAGGCATGGTGCAGTTTAAGACAGTATAAACGCAAAAGGACTTGCAATTCTTAAGCACATGTAGAAGCCGCGGCGGAAGAGGAAGTAGCAGGAGGAGTAGGGAAGGGGCCCATTTAAGACCCTGCCTGCGAAATGGCCTATGAAGAGACCCCGACTATAGCTACGGAATGGGACGCTAGCCCGGAATAGCAATGAAGGCAAGAACAAGTGAAGACGACTGTTGTCCAAGAAGCTTCCGGTGGCACCTGCAGAGATCAGGCTTGAAGCTCTACAAAGAGCCAGCACCAGAGGCCACAGCTTGGCCACTAGGAATTTAGGCTGGGAGACCTCTGGGGGAAGATGAAAACTTAGACTCTATTCATGGAGAGGAGGCCTCACTTACTCTTCCAAATGCAGGGGAGCCGGGTCTGTGTTTTAGTCTGTGTTTTAGTGGCCGGCATTGTTTTAAATTGCTAAAGCGTGTTGAGATTTGCCCTGGCAGATGGAGGGTCAGGACACATGGTTAAAAACAGACACCGGAGGGCCTCTTCCTCTTTCACTTTCCGCCACAATGTCTGCTGGGCGAGGAACATGATTCATTAATAAATTTAGCACCAAAGGCCTGACTCATCCAGAAACTTGAAACCACCACCCCAGCCCATCTTAATACACTTTAGCGGGTAATATTTCCCAGCCACGGCTGTCAGAGAAGGAGCCTTGCACGTAGGTGATGGCTTTTACAGTGTGCACAACGTACCGCTGGTACGCATCCCATCTTAGAGAGTTTTCAGCTGGGCTCAGTGTCACCTTGGGGCAAACACTGAACATGGTGGGCACAGACTGGCCCTTCTGAACACCCAGATCAGCACGATGTCTACATAGAAGCCCCAAGTTCAAGGCAGATGACAGTGTGGTGTCTGTCCCCACAACCTCACAGAGACAGAGGCTACTACTAAACACGAGGAAGTTACTGCATGCTCATCAGTGGGCAATTTGAGTGCAAGAACCATATATTATTCACTATGTATCCACTCCCTAGCACAGTTTGGAAATAGGCATTCAAAATAGAAGTTTGATAATGAATGAATGAATGAATGAAGTCTTGCTTGGTTTTGTTTGTTTTGAAACAGGATCTTACATAGCCCAGGCTGCCTCTGAACTAGCTATGTAGTTGAGGATGGCCTTGAACTCTCCCAATCCTTCTGCCTCTGCCTTCCAAGTGTTACTATTACAGAAATGAGCTCTTAATTCCAGGAGTAAATGAATAGCTTAGGCACAAATTTTGTGTACTATAATCACCTTTCCTGGGAGGAATATAATAAAATGGTTACAGGTCTGAGCAAGGAGACATATTCAGATGCAAGTCTCGAGGGTGAAGACGTCATAGGACGGAGTCTCCGTCTCCTTGACCCTAGGCGTCTGACTGACATGTGATGCTAATCCTGTGTAGTTCCCGGAGCTGAGGAAAGCCAGGATCAAGGAGCACATGATCCTACGTCCAAGATCTTCGCCTTCCTGGGGTTTTATCTTTTTATGCTTAATCCCTGAACCGCAAAAGCCTCAAGTGCACTTTGTAGTCCTGGTCAGGGAGGACTGGGGAGAAGGCTCAGTTGGAAGAGTGCTTACCACGCAAGCGTGAGGACCTGAGTTCAATCCCAAGGACCCATGCAAAACAACAAATGGACGTGGCGGTGTCAGTTTGTAACACAAGCACTGAAGAGGTGGACACAGGAGAATCCCTGGGGTTCACTGCTCAGACAGCCCCACCCACCTGCAGAGTTCAAAGCCAAGGAGAGACCCTGTTGCAAAAAAAAAATTAAATAAAAAATTATGTGAATGGTGCCTCAGGGACAATACCTGAAATTGACTTTTGATCCACACATGCATGTTCACACATATGCACCTGCACATATATACACATGCACATGCTTACACATACACATACACACACACACACATACACACACACACATACACACACATACACACAGGCACACATGCACACACGCAAGGAATGTCCCTGAACCTTAGAAACATCAAATCCATCCAGTTATCAGTTCCTGATATAAGAAAGTCATAGCCAA